AAATCTGTGGAAAAATAGAATTGAAAGATAATACGAATCTTTCCATGAACGTTTTGAAGACCCCTCATATGTAGGAATAATCATCGGTCAGCTTAGGCAGGGTGTGGTGGTGGTCACCGCGCAGTGAGAAGCCGGGCAGGGATAAATCATTGATGTACGTGTGGACCTGTTATGACTTTGTGACACAAAATCAAATGACAGAGTAAGACTGGGTGCCTCCTAGAAAATAATATGAAACTGTATAACTCATAGGTGAGGGGAGCTTGTAGAAATTAAGTTCTTTGGGGCCGGCCCGGTGGCACACTCGGTAGCGTGCGGCGCTTGGGAGTGCAGCGGCGCTCCCGCCGAGGGTTTGGATCCCATGTAGAGACTGGTCCGCTCACTGGTTGAGCGCGGTGCGGATGCGACACCGAGGGTTGCGATCCNTTTTGTTTGGTGCCATCTGGGTTTGAAGATAGATTTGAAGCATGTGTGTTTGGCTGGTATATAGCGCGGACGTGCACTGGAGATCCTGAAGCTTGTTGCTACTCAAATTCTAAGTACTGTGTGCATGTTGTTTTGTTGTGTTGTTGTCTGTCTGTCTGTCTGTTTTTTAATAGACCAGGCATTTGGAAAGACCTAAAGACCATGGGCTCCGTGTCTCTCTCTATATTCTTCATCACGCTGCTTGTTCTGGGTAGACAGGTAAGAAGTCTGTTTTCTTGATTTAACTTCTCTAAAGTGCTCTGTTAACAATGCTTTGCTGATGTGCATTGTAGTTTTTTTCATGCAAGCAAATGTTTAAGAATCAGAATCATCTTATCCCATAAGAGAAACGTAGGTAGCACAAGGTGTGGGTGCTTAGATATAGACAAAAGGGAAAAAGTCTGCCATTTTTTTCCACAAAAGGCAAACTTTGTGAATGGCAGAGATATGAATCAATTAATTTCCTGTTAAATCTCAAAATAAATTTTATAGGTTTTATAAGCCTACAAAAAAAAAAAAAAAAAGCATTCTCCCATAGTTTCCCAATAGGTGGCACTATTTGGAAAAATATCCCCTCGACTGGAGTTTTCATTGCATTTTGGAATGTGTAAAGTGCTTCTTTTTCTTTGAAGTGGGTATGAATACCTTTGCTGTCATTTGCAATCATTCCTAGAAATATGGCCCTTTGTTCAAAAGCTTTATTCTGTGATGTGAGTGAAGCTGTTCCTGCTTCCTTGAGCCGTCCACTCATGCTGGTCTCCTAGTAGAGACCAGGGGTGCAGGGTTTTCTGTACACCTGTTCTTGTTCTGACGACACACACAAGGACATTCACCCAAAAGTTATGAGACTCACTTGAAGCCAGGCAGCTCTGTGTTAAGTTCTGTGACGGGTAGTGTAAGACAAAGAAGTGATTTATTTGGAAACAGCCAATTAAGAGGGAATGCCAATNGGGTAGTGTAAGACAAAGAAGTGATTTATTTGGAAACAGCCAATTAAGAGGGAATGCCAATTAAATTATATACACCTTACCAAAGAGTTAAATTAAATCTGTGGCAAATATCTGAGAGGCACACTACAGACTTGTGAGTTTGGGTCGGGCTTCCGGTTCTGCCCACTAGAAAGCTGGTACTGGTACCCTCCTTTGACTGATGAGGAAAGTGAGGTTTGTAGGGGCTTATCCTACCAAAAAAAAAAAGTGTTAATAACACAATTTTTAACAAAACTGTGTTAACAATTGCACAGGCGGGCAGAGTCCACATCTGTGACTGTCAGTATTGCATCTGTGACACTCTCTCTCTCCCAAGCAGTGTGAGCTGGACCCTCCCCAGGCTCCCTAGGGCTCAGCTGTCCATCCTGCACAAAGCTCTGTAAGATCCCTTCCTTCCCACCCCACCCTCACCGCCCGCCTGCTTCTGTCTCTGGCATTTTTTCTATACTGCATTCTTTGGCTTGCACTTTTGCTAACCTGCACTATGTCTTGTTCTTTTTTCCTGGTTTCTTCTGCAACCCACTTGTGTTTTTGTCTTTTTTTTTTTTTTCTTTTTTGGATTTTTTTTTCTCAGTACTGACCAGCTTTCTGCTCTCACTCACAGAGCAGGCATGTCTCCCTCAGGAAACCCAATAATTTAGATGTAGAAGTGTCCCGACCC